GGGCGTTTTTTTTTTCTGTGGGGCAGCCTGTTGCTGGGGGGGGGGGGCAGCCTGTTGCTGGCAGGGGGATGAGGGGGGGGGCAGCGGGCGTGGGGAGGCACTTTTCCTCTGCCCGGCAGCTCTGCGGGACCCCAGTCGGAGCCGGCCCGAGGAGGAGGAGGATCCTAGGACGCAGGTGAGCGAGCCCCGGGAATGCTGCTGCGCATGTGCGGGAGTTGCCTCACCCCGTTCGTATCTAGGGATCCGACATAAGTCGGATCCATGTAAGTCGGGGACTGCCTGTAGTTAAATGGATGAAATTACACCATTTAACCGGTTAACTATTGGCAGGCAGGTCCTGCCTGTCGGCCCAGAGAGACCAGGTCTCTACCTGCTCCACTTCGGTATGGCTGGGGTCCTGCCTGTCACTCCAATGCATCTGAGTCCAGGGTCCTGTTGGCTTACCCAGGACAGCTAAGGACTGGATCTCTCTGGCCTGGGTGCCTCCTGGTTGCCCCAGCACAGGATCTCATTGACCCACCTTGGCATGGACTGAGGTCCTGCTGCCACGCTCAGAACAACTCTGGAGCAGCCAGGGCTCTATTGACTGCCTGGGCTGCTCTGGCACAGCTGGGGCTGGGGGCCTGACACAGGCAGGGGCCTGCCTACTGCCCGTAAGATGCCATCTGGACTCATCCAGGGCTGTTCCAGCTTGGCACGGCTGGCCGTTCAACTGGTTACACGGTAAGCTTTTCAGCACACCTAAGCTTAACGCTTACCAGGTAACCAGTTAACCTTTAACATCCCTAATAAAAACATCTCTTTGTTTAGCTAAGCAACATGCTCTTATGCAATTTTTATATCATTAAACCTACCATGGGGAGAAGGGGTTGTGTTTTGTCCCCTTCTCCCCCTCCATCCCATTACCTTCTCTTGAAATAAATGTCAAATAATTTTGGCTCACACAGTAAAATAGTGAACTTACCGTTGGTACTGAGCTGAAAACGTTACACTGAAGTCATTCTCACTATTCCAGGTCCATCTTAGAGTGAAATTTGTGTTTATAATATCAACTTGAACATTCTGAGGACTTGTAAGATTCATTTGGCCTACAAAAATGTTGGGGTAGGAAGAAGGGAAGAGATAGGAAGAGGTTGGGGGAAAAATATTATTGTACACAAAGTTTAAGGATATGTGACATCTGTTCCACAACAGTAATCTTTACATGTTCAAAATTAAGATAGAGTATCAAGTTTAGTACAGTTAAAGTACTTAAGCCTATTCAAATAAGATAATTCATGGCTTCCTTTAGCTATGTAAAGAGAAATTTCTCCTCTACAACTTGGATTCAATTTTTTTCTCTTTTTTGTACAGAGTTTTAAGACCTAGTACTTAGAAGAATATGCTGATTCTCAATGCACATCAGCCAAAATATTTAAAAAGCAAGTGCAATGCCAGCTTTCAACACTTTGGATCTCTGCCACAAGCTCTAGATCACCTCTGTTGCTTTCTACCATTTCACAGCTGTGAAGTGAACCCAGAACATGCATGACTTTTCCCCCTATTGCAATATACTCTGAGGCTACGTCTAGACTACAAGCCTCTGTCGAAAGAGAGCGTCTAGACTGCAGCCACTTCTTTCAAAAAAGCGAGCTGCTTTTTCAAAAGAGAGCACCGAGGCAGTACACTTTCAAAAAAAGGTGTTCTTCCTCATAAAATGAGGTTTACTGAAGTTGAAAAAAAAGCCTTGTTTTCGATTTAATTTTGAAAGAATGCGGCAGCAGTCTAGACGTAGGGGAAGTTCCCCCTTCCCCCCCCAAAAAAGGCCACTTTTTTCCCAAATAAATCCTGTAGTCTAGACACACCCTGAGATAGAATAACCAGAAAGACTTCTCCACACAATATGACCATAGGACTCCATTGCAGAAAACCAACATTTGCTCTTGGCTCAATAGTGGTGCTGGTAAATCTCCATAAAAAGCTTGGAGAGAAAAGGGTGAATATGCATCAAGACACGAACAAGAGTGAGCAGAGAGAAGACAGATGGTCCAAAGTTGAAAGATGGACTAATCCTTTGCATCTTTTTATTTAAGAAGGCTGGTGGGGAAAAAGGAATTGGCCTTCAACAGATTTTTTTGTTATTTTGAAGACAGGAACATGGTGGCAGGTCACAGAAAGACACAGTTATTGTGTACACATAGGAGATAAAGGAAATTAAATGTGCAAAGTTTCATTTTTGTATGCATCACACCTTCAAACAGCAACTTAAATAAAATATTCTTTTAAGAACTGGAAGGAAAGGTTACCTAATTCTATAATGAAAAGCATGCATGGCACAAGAATATACCACCCTGTCAAAACAAAGGAAGCTGAGGATTTCCAGTAAAATGCTTCAATTTTCAGATGTCAGGAAATAACTGCATAGTTGATTAAGTAAGTTTTGCTTTGAAAACAGATTAAATTGAAGTGTTTCTACCCTGAAGAATTGTGTGTAAAAATGGCTCCTTTGTTCGTCAGCAGATCTCTGTATGTACACAAAATCACACCAACTCAATTTTGTAAAAAGTGCCTGTCCTCTCTTTCCATGGCACCCAGTCCCGGAGGAATATGGCCTCAGGGATTATTGGGAGATTTTTTTAAAGCTAGGGTGAAACTGACCAAACCCCCAAATCTTGTAAACACTTATACACATACTTATTATGCACAAGTAGATCCACGGAATTCACAACTCTACTGGATACTAGGGATGTAAAAAGTCAGTTAAAAAAACAGTGTAACTGTCAAAAATCTTAGCGTTCACTGTGCTATGGACTCTGCAGTATAAAGCTTAAATAAGTGAAGCCTCCTCCCCAGGAGCCAGGTTGGCAGGGGCTGCCGGCCCCACTCCCAAGGAGGATTTACTGCAGGCTCTGCAGCTGGCTCTCCAGGAGTAGGGTGGTAGCTCCTCCTGGCCCTGCTCCTACAGAGCTGGCTGGTGGACAGAGTTTAACTGATAGGCATCAACTTATCAGTTAAACTCCAACATCCCTACTAGATACTCAAGTTTTGTCTACATATTCAAGTTTAAAGCCCTAATGCCATAGCACTTTAATGTGGCAGTGCGATCATGGCAAAAGTGCTGGGAAAGAATTGTCCCAATGTTCAATCTAGGTAATAGGGATTAGAGATGTTAGCTATGGGTTAATTGAATAGTTGAGTAACTTCATGAATTCTTATCAGTTAATCAACTATTCTATAGCCCCTAAGGGTGGGGCCAGCAGCCAGTATGCTCTGTCCTTACTCCTGAGGAGCCCCCTGCCACTCTGTGCTGCTGTCTCTGTTTCAGAGGCAGCAGCCACGGGGGGCCTGGACCTGGCATGAGCTGGAACAGAGCTGAGCTGCCTGCCTGGCTCCTAATACAATTTAAATGCATCAGGGCCCTGGACCCAGTGTAAGCCAGGACTGAGCTGGGCTGCTGGACAGCCTGCTAAAAAATTTACTTGCCAGAGAGAGAGGCCAATGCGTTTAGTCTATAGCTTTTGCTTACCAGTTAATCACCTAGCTAAGTAGTCTATTAAATGATTAAACAATAAGCAGGTGCTTATTGGTTTGCATGTAGCTGTAAGTGTTCTCTCTCCCTACCCCTGCAGCTCTTTAAGTACATTTTTTAGAAGGCTGGCTGGCTCAGTCCAAGGTCATGCTGGGTCCTGGCACTGGTTCCTAAAATTCATTTAGTGCAGCTCGCAACAGGGGTAGTTAACGGGACCCAGTATGAGCTGGGACTGAGTGCTTGCAATGCAATCCCCTATTGATTAGTCGTCAAAAATGTTGTTGATTACATGATCAATTAATTGTATGCTTAACATCCCTACTAGGTAAACCACCTCCACAAGAAGAGTAGTTAGGAGCTCTGAGCATTTGTTTACACTGGTGCTTTACAGAGCTGTAACTTAATAGACTTTGGGTGTTTTTTCACACACTTGAGCAAGAAAGTTACAGCGCAGTAAATTGCCACTGTGGACAAGCCATTATGGTGTGAAGTTGAGCATATATGTCAGTGATGGGCAACCTAAGCTATTGAGCAGGCCACTTTGCCCCTCTTCATCTCATATTGTCGCAACCAAGACAGTCTCCTTGTAGCACTGGAATGGAATTTTATAACTAATAAGTCAGTTATAATAAAAGGTATGTTTTAGCAAAAGGATTGAATTAAACTTAAATTCAAGATGTAGGCGTCACAGAGGGCCAGGCAGCTTTGTTATCTTAGCTTCATCTTTGTTTGATGTTAGCATGTTAAAGTAAAGGGATGGAATATTGTAATATATAGTGATGTTAGTGTTAGTAAGGCCTTGTAGTAGATAGAAAGAAGTTTAATGTTGAAAGACTTTGTAACTTTTAACAAAGTTATTTAGTAGTACCTCTTTGTTCCATGCTGCAATTCTGTAAGGCTACGTCTACACTGGCCCCTTTTCCGAAAGGGGAATGCTAATTTTACAGGTCGTAATAGGGAAATCCGTGGGGGATTTAAATATCCCCCGCGGCATTTAAATAAAAATGTCCGCCGCTTTTTTCCGGCTTTTAGAAAAGCCGGAAAAGAGCATCTACACTGGCCCCGATCCTCCGGAAAAAAGCCCTTTTCCGGAGGATCTCTTATTCCTACTTTTTTCCGGAGGATCGGGGCCAGTGTAGATGCTCTTTTCCGGCTTTTCTAAAAGCCGGAAAAAAGCGGCGGACATTTTTATTTAAATGCCGCGGGGGATATTTAAATCCCCCACGGATTTCCCTATTACGACCTGTAAAATTAGCATTCCCCTTTCGGAAAAGGGGCCAGTGTAGACGTAGCCTTACAGAATTGCAGCATGGAACAAAGAGGTACTACTAAATAACTTTGTTAAAAGTTACAAAGTCTTTCAACATTAAACTTCTTTCTATCTACTACAAGGCCTTACTAACACTAACATCACTATATATTACAATATTCCATCCCTTTACTTTAACATGCTAACATCAAACAAAGATGAAGCTAAGATAACAAAGCTGCCTGGCCCTCTGTGACGCCTGAGGAGAGAGAAGCGTACAGGCCTCTGCCTGCTCAAATGGTCAGAGGTGCTTCGGAAGGACTCTGAAGGACTCTGAAGCACCAAATAATTATCAACTAAGTAAACAACTCAAAAGACACAGACTACCCAGGCAGACTGATGAGCCCTGAAGCTAGAGGCAAGCACCACTTGATAGGGAACCAATCATAACTTTTGCCAGAAAGACAACACCCAGGAGGGGTTGTCAGCTTACTGATACCAGATGACTGTGACAACAACTTCTTATCAATAAGCACATGTCCTAGGAAGACTGATTGTGAAGCTGAATGACTGACTAAGGCCTGATAAGGCAAAATGCATAGACTTGCATGGAAGGAAAGTCCTATAAAGGACTGGGTATCTGATTCTTCTGGTTCTATCCTGCTAAGATCAAGATGAGGAGGGGCATCAGTCCGTACTGACATGAACCCGGCTCCTATCTGGTCAATAGATTGGGCCGAGCAACATACTGGTAACTATTCATCTGCAGGATGAGTGTATGTGTGAGTAAATGCATATGCTACTTTGTTATATTGTCAATAAATGCGGCGTGTTGCCTTATCACCCTGAAAAATATTCCATATGCTTCTTATAAGCATAACATCCTGGGATGGAGTAGTTTTGCTAACTTCGCTTGCATACTTTGAATTTGCAAGGTGTACTGACTAAATCATAGCAGTTCTTTGTTTGAATGCAGGAGTAGGGATGTAAGCGACTAATCGACTATCCGATAAACAAACGCAATGATGCTCACAGCACATGCCGAGGGCCACAACTACTAAGCAAACGCTTATTGGATAGCCAACACACTAGTTGACTAGTCACTTCCTGCCCCCTTTGCTGCCTTTACCACAAAGCCTAGCCTCCATGCGGGTGATTCTGATTTGAAACGTACAAGAGCCCCCGATTCTTGTACAAGTTCTTATTGACTAATAGAATAGTTGATGGAAAGTTAACATCCCAATGCAGGAGTGCACAGCTTTTACAGTCATGTTGTATGCAATCAGCATACACCTCACTTCATGTGTCATGTCACTTTTATAATACCAGTACGAAAAAATGACAGATTGAAACCAGTAGAATCTAGCAACTTTGCTCATGTCTTGGGGCCTCACATAGAACCCCAATGAGCCACATATGGTTCTCGGGCCATAGGTTGCCTACCACTGATATATGTCATTGTTCGCAGCAGTGCAAGCTAGCTGGCTATCCAAGAGAATCAGTAGTGCTGTCAAATGCAGAGCTAAATAGAAAAAAAATGCTGACTGACTTTTTACTTAGTAATCTTTGGGAGTAACTTGTAAGTGGAGTTTTATGCCAC